GAGGACATTGCACTCGCCGCATTATTGGCAAATTGCAAATTGCGAATTGCAAATTGTAAATACACTGCAATTAAATAGAAAACGAAATCAAAATACAAACTATGCGGAATCGAGTGCGCACAATCTATTCTGGGACTTGAAAGCTGTATAGGAGTTGGGGCTGTTTTATAGATAGCCATCGAATCAGGCACTCAGTAGACAGACAGACAGACAGACAGATTTACAATGGCCAATTATGCAGCAATAGTTTTGTATTAAGTTAAAGTTTAGTATGCACCCGATATAAAGGAGGAAGAGTCGCGTATCGCAATAGCGTGCGAACCATTTAAGTTTAATTATAAACTAAAAAGTATAAATAATAATAAATTGATACACATAACTCTTGCGTAATCTGGGTTGATTCCTCATTTTGTGTAGAGCCCTCAAAAACCTTGCTTGGTCAATCCCATAGACAATAGTGAACCATGCGATCAATCCGAACGTTGTGTCTCTGCATTGCTTATAAAATTCGCATAAATCAACGCAGATAATTAGGCAATCATTAGCAAGGCCGCAATATGACTTTTTCTCTTTCTCTAGCTAACTTCATTTTTTATCATTACTTTTTATATGCTTTTCCGAAATTTGTCTTCAGTTTTGTGGTCTCACACGAGGTGTGAAAATAATGACCTAAACTTGATCACTGCCAAAGCCAACAGCCACAAATTGATCAAAAACACCTTAGTATAGGTAGACAGGAATCTTTTATTTGGCGGAAAATCCAAGAAACTTCATTTCATTTTCATTTCAACGAATGCCTTTTTTAAACATATCCTATCGAGTAAGTTTTTAATCATTGTTTATCTGGTTATGTGATAAATCAATTGGGTGTTAATCATTTAGTCGTTTTTTATGAATTGAGGATTAGGCAGTAACTTGACTTAGAGTAGACGATACAAAATGTAGCTGACAAATAGATTCATCGTTTATTTGCAAATGAGATGCAATTGACCGTTAATGATGCGATGCACTTAAAGGGGCGCTCGGTCAATGCGCAGCAGTTAACAAAAGCTGGCAGACAGAGAAATTAAAATTGTTGTTGCTTTAAAGGACACAACTAATTTCACACGCAAAAAAAAAAAAAAAAGAAATCAAAAGGAAAACAAAATAAATAACACCGAAACGGAATTGTCCGGCATAATAAAAGATACACAAACAGTGGACCAGTCTCGTGATTATTTTGCTTGCAAAATGTAGACTCATAAGAAATACGGGCGACGTCATGAGTACGTGTTCTTCAGGTTAAATATATCTGTCTATATAGCCATATAATACCTATGCAGAGCTCTGACGCAGTGGACTACTTTCTCACATCGATTTGATGGCTCAAGTTCAAAAGATTTTCTCTATGGCCCTCAGTTGACGACGCACAGTGGGACCTTTGCATACTTGGCGATACAAAAATCTAAAAACACTAGTTTCTGAATAAAGAAATTTATTTTTAATATCTAATAGCCATTTGACAGTTTTAAGTCATACTTTTGCCTTTCCTGTGCATTTCAATTTGATGTCACATTGGTTTTATTAGGTATGCGTGGTACAGGTAGACTTGAAATTTAAATTCAATTCAATTGAATTCAATTTAAATTTAAAAGCCATTTCAAGCATCAATCCTTTTGGCCAATCATTTGCATTCTTATTTCAATTTTCTCACGCTTTATGGGTTAAGGCCCTACTGTGAGCTACGCCCATTCCGCCCACCTACCCCGTGTCATCCGTGAAACCTACTGTAACGTATTGCATTCGCTCTAATGGCGTAGCTGGCGTCATGGTTCTTTCATCAGCTGCAGCTCACTCTCCTACGTACGTATATAAAAATATTATAGAAATACAAAAACAAATAATACGAAATGCGAATCAGAGAGCACGATACATCTATTAGAACCGAGGGCAATTATCAGTTCATACCCAAGAGATAATTAACTCGAATATGATTTGCTGCACTGGGTCATTGGACTGGCAGTGCTTAAGCCCCGTTATAACACCCATAAGAAATACAGAAATGACGATAATTAAAAAGGAAACTATTTTTGGTCTACATATATAAAAATGTGAGAAATATAAAAAATGGGAGCAATATTTAAAATCTCCATTATTAGCGACAATGTTTACCCATCTTCCCTCAAGCAGCATACGGATTACACATAAAAAACCTATTTGCAAATAGATTTGTGAATTTAAATGAAATATTTGCATGCTGTATATTCCTGAAGTCCATTAGAATAAATGATATTTTGATCAATTTTCCAAATGGAATGTTGGGTAAAAGAATCATAAGCATACGGTAATAATTTTTATTGTCTAAGTAACGTAAAATAGTATAACAAAGTAATAAGAATATAGAGGAGTCGTACAAATAATGGTTATCCAGATGCAGCACACAGTACGTATCTTTCCCTGAAATAGAGGCGTCAATAATAACACTCAAGTGTGCCTGTGTTATATGACAGTGTGTAAGTGTGCATGTAAGTGCATGCGTGTGCTTGTGTGCGCTTGTCATGCACATTGTAAATCATTTTGCGTCAGACTTTGTGTCGCTCTGCCTCTATTTGTAGCCGTCTGCCACAGTGGCTGCTCCTCTTCGCTGTCTGCTGCCTCTGCGATGCTCTGCTGACGCTGGTAAACATGTGCTTGGATGGGCAAAGCTCGTCTGTCTGTCTATTATATGCATATATTTATATTCTACTATATTACTATTATGACCCCCTTCTCCCTGCCCTGAGCGGGCAAAAATTGATGTCGTCATTCTGCCCGAGGCGTGTTTATAATTTCAGTTAATGCAGCAGCTGCATTCAACAAATCTTTTTTCTTCGCCATTACGCAGCACTTTTGGCAGAATGCGTAATGTTGCACATACGCAACGTGCGCGTAGTAATTAGAAGCAACGAGCCCCACCTCCACCACCTCAACCATCACCAATATCGAAGGGAGTCACGCATACATACAAGTCTGTGTTCCGTTACTGTGCCAACAACTACTGTTATTCGAGTGGAGCCCTGCAGAGCCTGGCAAATGCTGCGTGCAAAGTAAGCCGGAGGAGACGCAAGAGCCGGCTGAGCAGCCCAAAGGTCCAATATCGCAGCCGTCGGGAAAGAGGTTGCGACAGGGATAGATCGCTGCCGGAAAAGTTACGCACTTCGAATCAGTGTTCAGATTCTGCCTATAGTAGGAGTTGTTATTGACCTCATAGTAGATGTTGCTCTCGTAGGGAAGTGTATACAAGGACTCCTGACACTTGATGGCCGGCGATGGCAGCAAAAGTTTCACTGTTTGATGTGGCTGCTGTGGCAGCATTTGTTCATTTTCAATGAGTCTACTATTATTGTTATTGTTATTGTTGCTATTGCTGTTGTTATTGCTGTTGTAGCTGTGGCTTACCGACGCCGTCGCCTCTTGCTTCACCACAATCAAAGAGGCAAGACGATCGCGCATTATATTGTGTATGTATTGGCTAGTGTGTGTGTGCGTGTGCGTAATGTAAATGACGGCGATTCATGAGAAGGCAACACAAGGCACAAGAAACAAACATAAGAGAAACAACATCAACAGTCAAAGGACACATGAAAGTTATTAAACACCTGTATGGCGCACTGCAACACGATGGAGATCCAGCACGACGTCCGAACTGGAAGCCAATTTTGTGTCTAGCACAAAAACTTGGCAAGTCGCCCGCTGTGGTCACTCCGATAATACATAGCTGTAATCGAGCGTGGCTGTTGCTGCCATTATTTGCTCGACGTTACTTAATGCACACTCACGGCTTACACTTGTCCTCGCCTGTTTCTGTTATGTCCTTAAACTTGAACTTGCGAATTCCGCGATTTATCCGGCCTCCTCCACCTCCTCCCGGCGACCCTGCTTATTCTTATTCTGCTCACAGGCGTTTGCGCAGTACCCGCGGACGTCGCGACGTAACCAACTGACGACGCAATGGCTTACTCACGTTTATATGTCAACGTATGTGTGTGTCTGTGTGTGTAAGTAAGCGGCGTTATATATACTCGAAATACAAGGACTTTACTCAATGTTAAATGTGCAAAGACATCAACAAATTTCGTTGTTGCTCGTGTTATAGTTGGTATATTTACATAGTGTTTGCACCTGCACTGAAGTTACACATAATTCTACACAAATATACATGGAGATATTCAATGGATTCTGCTCACACAATATATTCGAATTGCAATAGTTCACGTTACACATACGCAGCGTAGCACAGACGCGCGCCACAGCTGCAACGGGAGTCGCACGATATTACGCATACGATGTGTTCTCAATCGGCTTCCGTTTCCGTGTTGGTCTAGATGACAACTTGTTGCAATCGTTGAGCACCAATTAAATATTTCTATACTTTGTATATTGTTTGAATTAGTATTATTATATTATGCGAGACATTTGTACGTTCGAAAATGAGTGCCGCTTTTATTTTGCTCTATGCGATTATTAAGCGATTTGGGCTGGTTGTATCTGGCTTGTTTAATATTTGCGAAAGGTTGTTAACAATGCGGCGTCTGTGACGCGACTGAACTTATCTTTACAGTTATACGCGACTATATCCAAACGGAGGAGCAGCACGCCAAGCGAACAATCTGCTTCAGTCGGCGTCGCCAGCTGCTTGTGAGAGAGAGAGAGAGCAAGAGAGCCAGAGAATGAGAGAGAGGGAGAAACCCGTGCTCGGGTGCAACACACGACCTACCTTGCGCACTCGGTTTTCGGTTTTTTGGTAAGACAAATCGTAAGCGCTATTACGTCATTTACCGAGCCATCATCATCGGCAAGAGCAAGAGCAAGAGCAGGAACAGGGGTAGCCGCCCCAGCAGCGATGTTAGCTGCGGCAACAACAGCAATACAAAGCTCGTGCGAACTAAAATCGATGACGTCGTTGTTAATGCGCCTGCGCTGCAGCCGAAATGGCAGTGGACAAATATACGTATACGAGAGCGCAATATTGTAGATGCACAGCTCTGTCGACGTCGTATGAAAGCGAAGACGGAACTAATTTGCGTCATAAAAAGCTCTGCACTGCTCCGTTCTTTAAACGGCAGTGGGAAATTGATTTTCTAGTTGCTTTTTTGCTTTTTCACCTGCTTTGTTTAAATGGCTGTTCACTCCCCCCTCCCCCGCTATCATCCCCTACTATGTCTCTCCCTCTCTCTCTCTCTCTCTCATGTTTTCTAACTGTTTCTTTAGATTGTTTCACACGCCCACATCCTTACAAACTGAAACGGAGGCGGCATGCCGGCTATATACCGGGAAAGCCCTTGAACCTACACGTAGATTTACCTATTATATATAGGCAATATCACAATTCAATTCGCAAGGTTTTGAGTGTTACATTGCTCTTGCACCTCTGTACAGTTAGGTAATTAATGAAACAAAATCTTAACACACTTTACCATTGACAATTGGTAGTGCAGCTTAGAAACCTGAGCGGCAAACAACCGTTAGTAATATATGTACATTAAATTAGCTCCTCCTCTCGAAACTACAAACAAAACCGAAAGCAACAAGTGACACACACACACACACACCAATATTCGCACACAAGCAGGCAGTTTTATAAACGTGAAGCCGAAGCTCGGATCACAATCCTCTTGAGCGAGAGCGAAAAAAAATGAACGTTAACTGAGTGAGAGAGGGAGTGAGATAGCGAGACTGAGTGGGAGAGTGAGAGTGAGAGTCGGTCTAGCAGCGTTTGGTTTCCAGTTTGAGGTGGAGTAGAAGTATATGTAGGTGAGGCCGGTAACGTTTCGTTTTCGTTCGTTTTGCGAGTTCGTGCTGTGTAATGCATTCGTTGTGGCTATTTTTAGACAGATTCCAAGCCACGTTTTCTAACTGTTTTTAGCGTATGCCTGCGCCTGAATCACAACGGCAGAGCTTGAGACAAACGTGAGATCGCCGGTCAGCAGACTTGGGCGCAGTGGGCTCTTCCTTTCGATTTCGCTAGATTTTTTTTCCCATAATGCTTTTTCAGCGCTTTGGCATAGGCATTGCCTTTGGTTCAACACCAACACACCCCTCATACCCCACACCCCACATTGTATTAGTGTTGCAGTTCAGTTCACCTTAGCATGGTGAGCCTCACATGCATACATACACACATACATACATACATATGGAGGTACGTACAAGTTGAATTTTTGGGAGCGACGCAAGTGGAACTGGTCTGGTGATGTTTGTGTTGTTATTGTTGTTTGTGTTTTTGTTTTGTTCATTTATTCATGGCTGCTTCTGACTTGTTGGCGCTGCTGCTGACCCGCTCGTGGCCCCAAAAAGTGCATGCATATACCGCCAGCCTAGCGTCGGACAAGCGTTGGAGTCGCTTCCAAGATGTTATATTGTTGTTGGTTTTATTGGCTGTATTAAGCATAGCTTGCCAAGCCAACAACGTGAGGCAACGCTAGGCAACACGAGGCGACGCGCCGCGCCGCGACGTCGAAGGCAAGCCAATAGTTGGCACTCCTTGCTTTTGCTGCTGCCTTAAAGTCTCTTTAGCTTTTGTCTTCTCTGCGATGATATTCTAAATGTGCTGCGCCAAATTTACTTCGTCTGTTGAATTTGTTGTTGCTGCTGGCCTAATCCATGTATCGTTTTCGCATCGTTGCGCGCAGTTCGTGAGTTTAATTTAAGGAATTTTAGCTCTTTTTGATTGCTGTTTAGTCTTTGATTTTTGTATGTCTTTACCAAATTTCAATTAGCAAGCGGCACTTTGCGTTTGCTATTTCAATTGTTTTTTTCGTTGCTGTTGTTGTTGTTAGGCTGCACATTTGTGACGGCGCCTTTTGAATCATTTGCATAAATTGCTTGTGGTTGGGCCAACTCTTTACCTCTCCTTAAGTTTGGTGTGCCTTGCTTTACTTTGCCTAGTCTCAAGCCGTTCCGGACTTGCTGACATGCCCATTTTATCGATGACCCACCTATCTATTACCGAGCATAACTATACCCATAACATCCCATGCAAATTTTCGGAGTTGACTCCGTTGCCTGCAGGTGCTTTTCGTGGCGAATTATTGTCATTATATTTATTCATAGTATTTCTATATATAAATGTATATGTATATATGGTCTAACCTGCAGACATCTTTTGTGCCCTCTGGTGCAAGTATTTCATGCAATATTTGAGTTTTCGAATTTACTTTTGGCCAAATAACATTATGTCGAGGAAGCATGCCAGTATTTCATCCAGCGACAAATAGTACACATGAATTATAAAATTATAGCTGTTCAGATATATTTAAAAATATATAATATTTAAAGATTTTATACGTGTACGTGATACCTTTTAAGCTCCAATGACATCGAAGAGTGTAAAAATTTTTGATTGAACACGCCCCTTTTTGATAAAAGAGCTTATTTGCCAAGTATATTGTATTCCAGCTTTTAAGCGGGGTCAACGAAAACTTAATAGTTTTCTAAGCGATATTGAACGGTTTAATTTACATTATAACATGACCACATCTTTATTTTCAAGATCGCTGTTAAAGGTATAAAATATAATTAATATAGTTCATCACGCACAAGTAAGATTCCATATTAGATTCCCAAATTACCCCACCCATTCATAACCCAAGCAATTTTTAACCAAATCTGAGACAGCAAATTATGGACGGATTATCCTTAGGAATTCTTATTGGTTAAATTAATATCAATCATCTATTGAAGGCAGACAGGCAGACCTAAGGATGAAAGTATCCAACTATCAACTACTGCCTTCCGGTGCTTATCAAGTTCCTGTGTTCATTAGCGTCCCATTATTTATAGCGCAATGCTTTGCGGCTGGGTGGCCACACGCGCCGTGACGTCATAACACAGTGTACGAGCGATCGATAAACAAAGACGTCATCAATTTGGGTGGCGACGCGTGTCCGTGACGGGCTACATGGACATGCGCTGTTAATTGCGCTCGCGCCATGAATGAAAGCTTTGGAGCATGTGGTGAGTGCGCCGGCAGAGGCAGTGACAGTAGCAGAGGTACACAGAGACAGAGGCAAAGCTTTATGCGGAGGCAGAGCAGAAACGCCGGCCGGCAACGGAGGGTCGGCGTCGCAGCGTCGGCTATAGTCTCCATTACGGCTGATGTTGTGCTCTCGCTCTGGCCAGCAGCAAGCGCGTGAATCCGTGACGTAACAGTGCGACGCCTTACTGTACGTACTTTCAACGGCTATCTCTCTTTTTGTGACGTCAGAGTTGGATGTTACTAGACTGTTCGTATGGGCAGCATTTGTCGTGCTCTCTCGCTCGCTGTGACGTCAGTGAACCGACTTTTTTAAGCCTGCTGGGTCTATATTATTATTGCATGATTAATTCATTAGCACAGGTGCAACGAAAAGAATTCAATATCTGCGAGCTTTGTGTTTTTGTTGTTGCGAAAATTCACTGCGTGCATATGTGTGTGGATAGGAAAGTCTCCAAGCCTTTTTAAATATGCTAAATATAGAGGGTATTTCAAGTCACCACACAGCACGCTCTATCATCGGTAATGGTGACGTCACAATACACTTGAACTTGACTGCTGCGTAAATTTGTACATATGTATATATGGCCAGGGGATAAGCATACGTGCTGGACTCCTTTGCAGGCCGTTTTGCGAGCAAAAATAGTTGCTAAGTTGCATATCTAAAAGTAGGCTTCCAATAAATTCAAAGAAGGCATGAATAAGGGTGCATGTGTAGGAATTATTTTAGCGTCTTACATCTTACACACATACCGACTCAAGCCACGGACTTTCATTTGTGACAGTTTTATAGTCAGTAGTCAAAATTAGTAATGCTAAAAACATGTTTACCTTGTTTATCCTTGTCTTGTCTGGGTAAAGAATGGAGAATGTAGGGTAAGAAAGAAATGTAAATTTTAGCAGTAATTCAATGATTTAATTTAGCCATTTTTCTGAACGCCAATAAGTATTTCAAATTAAAATTGTTCCCTTTGTTGTCTTCAATGTATCGGATCGGATCCATATATTTGAAGTAAAGATTTATTATATACATGCCCATTCTAATATAACGAATACATTGGGAAATTATTAAAGCCTTAGTTTCATTTGAATGCTTTAATCAGCCTCTGTACTAAATCTGCAGCTGAAAGACAAGTTATCCAAATGACAGTCACTAAGGTTCTTATGCAAAGCCACCTAATGTTTTTATAAGTCCGAAGCAATTGTAGCGCACCAAAACGCTGCATTTATTATGGAATGCATCTCTTTGAAATAGTCAACTACCTGCACAGTGTACACGTGAGATTTCCATAAATTTAGTGGCCTGTCATTTATAAGGAGCAAACAATATACCGGACAGATTCAACTTGATATACCGACAAAAACATTGCGGCAACATCCAAGTAGTCTTCAGCTAGTCTCAGTGAAGCTGCTGTTCATGTGAGAAGCATCTGTTTATGGCGATTTTCGCACCCATGGCGCTCGGACGAATGCTGCGCAAATGTAGAGACTTGACCTCGACCTGTCCCGTGCTCTCATGCTCAGGGCAATACGTTCAACTAGGTAATACATGCTCTGTTAGAGTCTCTCGTTATATTATTTGTGTGTATTCAACAAGACACGGTGCTGAGTTGCATTGCTCGCAATGAAGTCGATAATAAAGTTATAAATAAACCATCCATTCAATTGGTCATGGACGGTAGAAACTCTTTGCTCAGCGCTTCAGTCCATTGATGTAGATAAATAGTTCGAGAGCGATACGTTTCATTGATTCTTCGGCTATTCTTTGAACAGTATTTGAAAGAGCCCACAACTGAACCAATTTAATTTCAATCTCCAATTATAACTGATATAGCTCACGATGGTGAGCGACTAAGCTGTTCACAAACTTGTACTAAGCCTCCCATCTCTAATATGCAGTCGCTGACATGGACGGCGAGCCATGCGGCTTCTATAGCTTGGCACGGCTACATCTTTATATTCTGAACGGTATAGATTTGTATCGGCTGATATCTGCGTGTAAATTCGCAGTCATAGC